AGCAATCCCTCCGTTCAGAGATTACTAGTTACTAGCCATTTCTGAGGGCAGAATGAATGCTGGCGGGTTTGCCATTGTTTTTGCACTCTACTCGTACGCGAGCTAGGCGTAACAGCACCACCTTGGTGGCATTTATTTTTACACTGGAATCGCCTTCCCTATCGTCCCATTAGCATATCTACCGATTTTGGCAGACTTTCGGTGTGAAGTTTTCGAATTACGGACGTTTCAATAGGCCAACTAACTTCATAAGAACCCTGCACATAAGAGCAGTCTGCATCAGGAAGGAAAGTAAGATATTTCACAGTCGGGCGCTTAATAGTCTTTCGTGGGAAGCACAGCGTTATGAAAATTTTTTTATCGTTATACTTTTTTGTGTTTTCAAATCTGCCTGATGTTAAAGATAATGAATTAATATGAACATGTCTCATTTTGGTCTAATTTTGGCTATTTCTTTTCTGTGGAATTCATCACCATGATACTTTTGACTAGCGTAAAAAAAAACTTTCACATGAGGTAGACACGAAATGGACATGAACTACAGAGACGCTCTTTCCACAAATTAGGATGAAACCAAGTTCGAGCGACTCATCTGGCAATTCGCCCATTAAAAAAAAAATAGATGCATTTGCTAAATTTATTCAGATTAAGATTCAGCTCCATATCAAAGTAGCATGTAAACATGGTTTATGCTAAACGCCAATTTGTTGCAGGGCCCGTCCAACGGCGCGCCAGTGCCTCCAACACCCGTGGCTCACGAGGCGAAGTCATCGCCGCCGACGGAATCTGTACAAATTGTCCGCATCCGCCAGACCCCCTTCGATGCCGGCTTTGCCGTTCTACAAGCCGCCGTCGAAACCTCCGTCCCTGAGCACGCTATTCCGCAGCTCCCAGCTGACCCTGCTGGCTGCCTCGACCCCGTCCCTGATGACCACGTCGGTGATGACCGTTTCCACACCGTGCCTGGTGACCACGCTGAGCCCCTCGTCCTCCTTCAAGGGCGAGGCGGATCTGACTAACCTGAGCCAGGACAGTGCCATCGAGGACGAGGGATCGTCCGACGAGGGGGAGAAGACCCCGACGAACGAGGAAGAGGATCGGGACGATGAGGACCAGAAAGGCTTCAAGAATTGCAATCACCAGAAACTGATGTCCGTGATCGACATCGGGAACTGGAAGCCTAGGGACTTCAAGGACCTGAACCCTAAGAGTGCCACTGAGAACAAAGAGAATCGACGTCTTTTCGACAGTCGCTCTCCGATTCGCAGCAGGGACCAGCCAAAAACGGAAGTTCCATCGAAGAAAGAAGAGAACAGTGACTTGAAGGGACTGGTGAAGGATGTCCCGAAGATAACTGTGACTCTATTCTCAGATAAGGAACCCGATAGCGACAAGCCCGAGAAAAGCGCCGCCAAAACGCAGTTGGCGACCCAGGACGACGACTCTGTCTGCAAAGTGCCCGTCGCTGAAGAAAAGAAGCAAGACAGCGACGAAAAGAGGTCCCCAAGGACTTCCCGCTGGACGTCTCCACAGACATCCAGAAAGGACTCGACCTTGGAGAAGGAGTCCTCAGTCCTCGACCGGAAACTCTTTCCATCTACGGCCACGGAGGCGATCAAGGACAACGAGAACAACAAAGTCGTGCCAAAGATTAGGCTTGCGACTTTAGAAATGGAGAAAAGGCTGGAGAGCCTGAGGGCAAAGCGCACTGGCAAGGAGAGTGCAGACGACGATTCTGTGATGAAGGACATCTCCCAGTCCTTAAACGTGGACCTGAAATTGGACAAGACACAAGAAGACCCAGATTCCTCGAATGCTAAAGAGAACGAGAGAATCGGGACCGTCGGCAGCAAACGGACCCCCGCAGTGGGCCAGGCTGCAATCAAGAGCAAATTTGAGCGAGGGAAAAGCGAAGATGAAGTGAGACGAGATGAAGTACGAGAACGGTGGAAGAGCCGAGCAGAAAAGGAGCAGGAAGACTCGCGCCTGAACCAAAAAGAGAAGGAAGCAGAGAAGAAGGAGGCTAAAGAAGGGCTGCAGGAACTAGAAAAGAGAGAAGAGAAGGGAGAGGGACGGGTGAAGGAAAGGCGACAAAACCTAGACAAGAAGGAAGATGGTCTAGAGAAACGGGTGAAAGAAGGGCGGCAAAGCCCAGATCAGCTGGGAGAGGGACAAGAGAAGTGGACGAAGGAAGGGCGCCGAAGCCCAGACCAGAAGGGAGAGAAACGAGAGAAACAGGTGAAAGAAGAGCAACAGAGCTCAGACCAGACAGGAGAAGGACGAGAGAAATTGGTGAAGGAATGGCGCCTAAACCCTGACCAGAGGAGAGAAAGGCGAGAGAAATGGGCGAAGGAATGGCGCCTTCGTCCCGAGGAAAAGGGAGAGGGACGAGAGAAGCAGATGAGAGATGGGCCACAGAGCCCAGATCAGCAGGGAGAAGGACGAGAGAAATTGGTCAAAGAATGGCGCCTCAGCTCAGATCAGAAGGGAGAGGGGCGAGATAAATTAGTGAAGGATGGACGACAGAGCCCAGATCAGAAGGGAGAGGGTCGAGAGAAGTTGACCAAGGAATGGCGCCTAAACCTCGACCAGAAGGGAGAGGGGCGAGAGAAGCGGGTGAGAGATGGGCCACAGAGCCCAGATCAACTGGGAGAAGGACGAGAGAAATTGGTCAAAGAATGGCGCCTCAGCTCAGACCAGAAGGGAGAGGGACGAGAGAAAATCGTGAAGGATGGACGACAAAGCCCAGATCAGAAGGGAGAGGGTCGAGAGAAAGTCGTGAAAGATGGGCGACAAAGCCCAGATCAGAAGGGAGAGGGACGAGAGAAAATTGTGAAAGATGGGCGACAGAGCCCGGACCAGAAGGGAGAGGGACGAGAGAAATTAGTGAAAGATGGGCGACAAAGTCCAGACCAGAAGAGGGAGGGACGAGAGAAGCGGGTGAGAGATGGGCCAACAAGCCCAGATCAACTAGGAGAAGGACGAGAGAAATTGGTTAAGGAATGGCGCTTAAACCCTGACCAGAAGGGAGAGGGGCGAGATAAATTAGTGAAGGATGGGCGACAGAGCCCAGACCAAAAGGGAGAGGGACGAGAGAAGTTGGCCAAGGAATGGCGCCTAAACCCTGACCAGAAGGGAGAGGGGCGAGATAAATTAGTGAAAGATGGGCGACAGAGCCCAGACCTGAAGAGGGAGGGACGAGAGAAGCGGGTGAAAGAAGAGCAGCAGAGCCCAGACCAGTCGGGAGAAGGACGAGAGAAATTGGTCAAGGAATGGCGCCTAAACCTTGACCAGAAGAGAGAGGGACGAGAGAAATTGGTAAAAGATGGGCGACAGAGCCCTGATCAGAAGGGAGAGGGGCGAGATAAATTGGCGAAGGATGGGCGACAGAGTCCAGATCAAAAGGGAGAAGGACGGGAGAAATCGGTGAAAGATGAACGCCGAAGTCCAGACCAGAAGGGAGAGGAACAAGTAAAGCAAGCGAAAGAAGAGCGGCAGGGCCAAGACGAGAAGGAAGGACGAGAGAAGCAGGTTGAAGTGGAGCAACACAGCCCAACCCAGAAGGGAGACGAACAAGAGAATCACGTGCAACAAAAGTGGCAAATCCAACCCAAGTGCGGAGACATTCAATCAAAAGAGAGGCGACCCAGCCTCCCCGCGTTCCAGTCCAGTGTCAGCGAAGCAGAACACGCGCGAAAACTGGAGGCCATCCGGGAAAGACTGGAGAAGCGGCGAATCAGCCTTCCCGCCATCAACCGCCCCTGGGGCCGCATCTGCCACGGATCTTACGCTCGCGCCTTAGAGAGCTTCCGCAGCCGCTGCAACCAATTCGAAGACCTACCCGAAGAGACCACGCGGCACGGCCAATGACGACGGACGAACGTTATTCACGACGCGAGTGACATCAGTGGAAGATCCTAGTCAAGCACAAGTCGAATCTCATTTTACTCCCTGAATCTATTTCCTTATTCGTTTTTCATTGCATTTTTTTTTGCATCTCCTGTATCTCTGATTTGTATGACTTTATGCTTTGTCGGTCCTCATCGATCATAAAATGTTTTCGGCCTCTTTTTTATCAGCTGTTTCGAGTTTCTTCTTCGACGAAACCCTTTCCACCCTCCCGCTTTCCATCCGCGAATAATGGAGAATAATGGAGAATAATTAACCCGACAAGAAGTCTGTCCCGGTGCTGCAATTTTTTTCCCGCTCATACTCAGGTAATGGACGCGCAATGGATATTTAGCCCCTCGCTTAAAAAAAAAAAGTCGTTAGTGAAAATAGGTCACAGAAGGCTTTCAATTTTTTAATTTTTATAAATTCTCCGCCCCATTTCCTTCATCCAATTGCGTCCCAAAGCGAGTCGAAACACGGAGCCAGCTGGACTTTGAGAAAGAATTTCCCAAAGTCGAATTTGCCTTGGATGGCTTAGCGTTTACTCTTTCATCCTTTCATCACCTCGAGATTAACTGTGGGATGATCTCCGGTACGTAGATAATCCTGGCACTGTTTCAACAGCTTTAAATCCCCGTCGAGAAAAGAGTTCCGATACTTCGAATGCTTTGAAGTCGCGGCTGGTGCCCCTCCTCCTCACTCCTCCTCTCACTTCCTCACTCCTCCTCTCACCTCCTCACTCCTCCGTCACCGTTGCCCCATGCACGCACTGATGCGGCTAAGATCTTCCATTACCGTGATTGGGTTTCTCAGGACCACCCGGGCAGTGCACTCTCACGCATTCAAAAGCGCCTTTCCTCCCACTATTACACTATGAGTAGCGTATTTCTTTTTAATGGATGAGACACGACGAGGCAGAAACCCATTATATACCCATTACTACCGAGAAGTGACGACGCGAAAGCACGGCGGGAAACGTCTTCCTCGGCCGACGAAGGCGACCGACATCTCTTAGTAGCATCGTTTCAAACTTTATTCACGGATGAGAATTGTTTAGGCACGCATGAGAAGCGATCCGAACAACCAGATGTCCATTAGTCGTCAAAGAAGTCCGCGACGCTGCCTCGTCTCACGATGTTCTGCCTCGTCTCACGATGTTCTGCCTCGCCTCACGATGTTCTGTCTCGTCTCACGATGTTCTGTCTGATCAACACCGTTTTGGTCAGCTACGGAGGGAGAGACCGGGCTCGGCCCACAGAGGCACCCAAACGTCGCAACACTTTCAAACACATCTGCAACGGCGCCACCGTCGTCGCATCGATGCCACCGTCGTCGCAGCGGCGCCACCGTCGTCGCGACCCTCACCCCATCTCCTCGACCGGCGGCGGCGGCGGCGGTCTCTTCGGCGGGTTCAACCGAAGGGATTCCCTGAACTCCTCCTTCATCTGCCGCCTCACCGACGTATGCTGCACGATTACGAAGATGACGTCACCTTCAGTCGACCGAGAGCGACGGATTTAAAAAGGCTTTACCGCAGTTTTCCCCCCCTTCTTCACGGTGGCGACGGAGTAGACGCAGAGCTCGAAGAAGGCGACGAGGATGGCCAAGATGAGCCCGAGGAGGACGACGAACACGATCCCACCTGCAGGAAAAAAAAAGCACCAAAAATCCCTCAAAGGACCAACCCTTCAAAGGACAACCCCAAAGGACCAAGGACAACCCCAGAACTCCTCACCAAAGTTATACAAGTCGATATGCGTCAACCCCGGACTCCTCCCGGGCTCCTCCCTACAATCGTTCCTAAAGTGAAACCACTTGAGGTCCAGCCCCCACAGGCTCCCGTCCTCCTGCATCTCCAACAGCGCCGACGACATCAACGGCATCAGCCAGGAACCTGAGTTGCGACGTGCGGATTCGACAAACTTTCTCTTTCGTCGGTTGAGGATTTTTTTTTTCTCGTCGTACCACGTTGCCATTCGACTCTCAAAGGGAGATATTCATAATATCGTCTTGGATTAATAAAATATAAAATTTACGATAATAACAACTTAGCTCAACAAACACTCGAAAAAAAAATTAATTTAAATAATTCAAATACATTTAATATAAACTAATAACAGTCGCATCGAAACCCCCCTCCCACACACACACACACACACACACGCACACCCCACCTTTCGGAAAAGCAACCGCATAGCTAATCCTATTAACCGTCTTCCCCAGCTGGGCCAGATCGCAATGCCTCGACAGATAATACTCCATGCTCAGCGTCTCCATGAAGAAGGCGAACTCCCCGTTGGAGGATTTCACCCGGGCGACGCCCTCCTCGTAGTCGCGGAGGAGGTTCTCCGGGTGGGCCTCCATCACGTCGTGGAGGTGGCTGTAGATCGACACCTTCGCGTTCTGCGTGAGGGCGTGAGGGGAATATATTTTTATTTCTTTTTTTAATTTTATATTTTATTTTCATGATAGTCTTATTATTATTATTGTCTTATTGTTATTATTGTCTTATTATTATTATTGTATTATTATTATTATTATTATTATTATTATTATTATTATTATTGTCTTATTATTATTATTATTTTTGTCTTATTATTACTATTATATTTTATTGTTTACTTTTTTTATATATTTTTTTCTGAGGTTTGGGAAGGAGAACGTCGAGTCTCAATTTCCAGCAGTTGCCGATCGGATCAAAATTTCTTCATTTTCCAGGAACAAAAATTTTAAATAAAGTTCACGGATTCGGTTTTCTCGGGACTAAGTTAAATACTTCAATAATATTTTTAAAAATACCACAAATTAAAAAAAAAATTCCTCCACATTCCACCCTCACCCCTCATCACCACAATAATAATAATAATAATTAAAAGCAATAAACCGTACCTTGAAGAAGGCGTGCGTGGCCCCCCCGCCGACCGCCCCGTATTGCACGACCGACTGCCGCGCCAGATCCTCCACCGCCCTGATCGGCGGCGTCGTTTCCTGCGTCGCGTACGACAGCGCCACCACGTGGACGTAGAGGAAAAGCAGGAGGACGGAGAACCACCACCAGATCACGGCCACCAGGCGGCAGGACCAGGCCTGTGGGAAGGGTTCGAAATTTATTTATAAATTTATTTATTTATTTATTTTTAAAATATTTACTTACTTATTTCATATTTTTAGTCATTCGCAAGAATGCGTGAAAATTAAAAAGTCACTAATCGAGTCAACATAAAATATAATATAAAGTAAAATAAAAGGTGATCCCCACCTGCGGCCCCTGCGTCGCCCCCCTCAGGAAGAAGGAGCTGAGCATGAACCAGAAGCATCCGCCGAGGGAGGTCGGCTCCCCCTTCCTCCTCTCGTACGGGCTGACCCTCGAGGCCGCGAAGAGCGTGAGCGACCCGAGCACGTACAGGCCCAGCACGCACAGCCACACGCGCCACGTCAGGGGGCGCGCGAACGCGTACCACGGCGGCTCGTCGTACGCCGGCTCCTAGGAATCGTTCACGGACAATTCGCGTCGCGTGCGTGAGGGCCTTCGCGTTTCCCGCGGAGGAAGTTCCGTCGGGATTCGTCACATGTGACGAATCGGAGATCGCGCCGCACGTTGTGACGCGATCTCCGCTCCCTATCATTTTCATTTCAATCACCGTACTCTATTTTATTTATTTATTTTGACTACATTAATTTATTTTTATATCATTTTCCTTTCGTATCTTCTTTCATTTACTTACTTATTTACATCATTAACATATATTTTTAAATAGCTTTCCACGATTCCTGCCGATTCCCACGATTCTTGCCCATTCCTTCCGATTTCTTTCGGTTCCTTCGGTTCCTTCCTCGTCGTTTGTCATCGACTTCCCACGATGGATTTCTCGGCGTCCCGTTGGAAACGAATCTCATTTTCACCCGATCCACACC